TGGATTCTAAATCAGGACATTAACAAAGACTATGATTCAATAAACCCAAAGCTTTTAAGCAAGACTTTACAGAGAATCAAAGTTCCAACAACCATTAGCAAGATCCTAGAAAACCTAACCAACAACAGAAAAACCAGGGTCATTATATGTCATGGTCTTACAGACAGTTTTAAATTAGTACAAGGTATAGATCAAGGAGATACAATCTCACCTTTGCTATGGCGCATATATTATGATCCACTAATTAACAGAGTAGGAAAAGGAAACATAGGATACAAGTTTTCAGTTCAAAAATCCACAAACAATTCAAACATATGGAGAAAACAAAAACACAGCATCTCGTCAATAACATACATAAATGATACAATCTGGATAGCAAGTTGTCGAGAGCATATTGATAAGATCATCAAAACCACAGAACAATTTGCAAAGTTGGCTAATCTTAGAGTCAACCCAAAAAAAATAGTGCTTCTTATAATAAATAATAAAGACACAGAAAATCATCAGTTCCAAAACCAAGTAATTAAATCAATAGAATCCAAACAAGCCATAAGTATTCTTGGAATATGAATCCCAGTAACAGGTAGCAAAAAGCACTAGCATGAACTGATTAGACAAAAGGTAAAAACAACAACACGAATTCTGAAAAGAGCCATGATCACGGACAAACAATGCAGATATATTCTGAATCAGGTTATGATGTTAGCTATAGAATATATGCTACAAGACACAATTCTTTCGAATCAAGAGATCAACATCCTGGACAGTCAAATTAGGCAAGCCTTCAAACACAAAATTGGAGTCTCAAGCACTATCCCAAACAGCAGCATATATGTTCATACAGGATATAAACTATATATGTTGCTGAAATTTGTAGATTCTTGATGCAATTGACACAATTATTTGACGCAATTATTTTTGAGGATTTTGGAAATTGAGTCAACAGCAAAATAATTTATGCCACATATATAATATAAACTATTTTGTATAAAAGATAGACAATTTGCATTATATATTAAAAACTGGATAACAAATCTAAACAAAAACAACTTGTATGGAGCACTAACCAGAGGAAGACTGCAGCACCTACAAAATCGAACATGGATATCAAAAAACATACTTCAGCCAAAAATGACGATTGACAAATCCAAGAAATATCTAACAAGCCAAATCCTACAGATGCTCAAAGAGGAGGACATCATGGTAGAACAAAACCAAGACCATAGCCTGATACAAACATATGACAGCATAGAATTGTACATGATTAAAGACATTATAGAGAAAACATAAAGCAAGAAAAACATCAAAAACATCAGAAGTATAATCTAATGTTCATCAAACAGATCATCAATGCCCAACAAATACACATGCTCAACTGGAGACAAATCAGAGCAGCCACAGGATGTAAACTGACTGGCAAGCAGCCAAGATGGTTCACCAAGATCGGAGAAAAATACAGCCAACCAGATATATTAAAAAACAGGTACACAATTATACTAACGAATCTAACAAGACCCAATCCAGTCTCTCAGCTAGAAGTAGCAAAAAGTCACAACATCCAAAAGCAAAGATACTTGGCATATATGATCAACCAACAAATACATATTAAAAGAATAGATTGCAGATATAGAATAATAGATAACAAAGTAAGAGTACAACATATGTAACAAAAAAAAAGAGATTTACTTATAAACAAGTATCAAGGGTGTAACCATAGAAACAATACAAGAGAGGGGTGTATCAGGGAAATCAAAATAGACCAGGCAATAATTATTCCAATAACCAAAACCATACATAGTGTAAAGCTCCACAATCAGATCTTAGGATACCTGGACAGAATACAAACATCATCAGACACAATAATGCACAATATACAGAAAACTGGAGAAGAATAAAAGTATACATAGATGGTTCATTAGTCCAAAAAGCAATCAACCAAATCAAGATAGGAGTGGGATGGCATATAACCAATCAAGAAACAGGAAAGAAAGTCACATATTCAGGTCATACAGAACATTTTCTATTATCAACAAGAACAGAATTGATGGCAATCTTAACTATACTAGTCACAATCCCAATATAAGCAGAAGTCAAAATATATACAGACAGCCAGGTAGCCATTTAAGAGATTCAAAAAGAAGACAAAGGAAGCTGCCAAATCTATAAAAGTACAAACTGGATAACAAAAACTCTAATTAAAAGAATCATCAAAGAAAGACAAAGACAAACAACATTCATTAAAGTCAAAGCATACCAAGGAAAAGAAAACAATGAAAAGACAAATAAACTGGCAAAAGAAGGAGCAAACAAAGGAGATAAAGCAATTATAACAGTCAACCCAAGAGCAGCAGCATAGGGAACACTAAATTGAAGAGGATATCAGCTAGACATAAATATCAAAGAATTCTTAAAAAATATGCAAAACACCAAATGAATGGCAAATTGGATAATATAGAGAAGAAACAGAGTATAGATTGAATATAGAGACAAGCTATAAATAGACTGGCACTTTACCTGGAAAGCATAATACCAATCCAAAATAACTAAAATACATACAAGCCAAGAAGATCACACATATAGAAGAATCAGATACAGATTACTAAATAGTGAACTTTCTATATTGAATAGTCTAATAGAAAGAAGACCAGATATCTACAAATCAAACAAATGTCCAGGATGCAAGAAAAGAGAAAGCCTAGAGCACTTAATACATAAACACTGGCAACACAAGATAACAGATAAATACAAAAAGATAATAAAAGAAGAAACCGAAGGGTGTCAAAGAAATTGCAACAAAGAGAAAGAAAAAAAAGACTCAAAATCAAAAATGCTATTAATTATGAACTCAGAGTACACAAGAAACTATATAGTAAGAGGAATTTTAACCAAGGAGATAACCTAATATATATACTAGTTTGCAAGAGAAAAACAAAAGAAGTATGTAGAAGAATTGTTGAGAAAATAACAAAAGTAATTAACAAGCTATGGAAAAAAAAAAATGAAGAAATCACAGAATGGGAAGAGATAAACAATATTAACAGAGCAGACAAAAGAAAGCGAAGACACAGATCATATCAAACAGAAATCGAAAAAGATAGAGAAAAAGAGAAAATAATAGCAAATAGGAAAAAGAACCTGGAAAGGAAATTGCTAAAAAGATGGATTAAAAACACAGACAAAATGACAAGAAACAATTTTATTTATTTATATACTAGTGACATTAACAATAGCGATACCTTGGCACATTAGTTTCAACCTCTATCCATTAGGAAAAGTTGATAGCAACAACTGATATCTAGAAAACCTCGATATAGTTTAGCATATACTCATCAATTAATGTTATAACATAGTTTATATACAGAAATATATATAAATATATGTAAATATTGACTTTAATAAAGTTTGCTAAGCAAGGTTAAGCTAGTTTAAATAAATATATATATATATATGTTTGTGCTACCATTACATTAACAATTATTAAAAGAATTTTTTTAAATATACAAATAGTTAAATAATACTAGAAACTATATTATATTTTAATAATATTTATTTATTTATTTATAAATAAGTATTAAATATAAGATTTTATTAAATAAAAGTTTATGACTATTATGTTAAAAATCTTTTATATACAATATAAATTAATTTCAATTTATTACAAGAAAAACAAAACAAAAAATAATCATCTACTAGTTGTATTTAAATTAATATATATGTTTATTAAAAGTAACAATACGTGTAATTAACGATAATAAAAATAGCTTGAATTAATTATTAAAATTATTTAAATTTAGAATTTAATATAGTAAAATGAATAAAATAAACAAACATACAGTACTTAATTCCTGAAACTCATGAGCTAGTTTTAATATACTGTATATTGAATTTTATAAGTCTAATTTTTATAAACCAATCAATTAATTTCATTTATTAAACTCAGTTTCGAAATAGTATTTTTGTAGATATTAATAAGCTTGCGGCTTTCTATAATTAAAACGCCGAAACATTTTAACATAATTTTCTCTGCTAATATTAAATCGGCTTTCAAGTAATAGCTTTTCGGATATTCGTCTCGGTGACCTCAGGTTCCAATCATTGGTCGATTGAATTTTTCCCTGATTTTAAATATTTCCATCCACATAAACCTCATTAACTTTACACCTGAAATCGTTTGATTTGTCATCGGTCTTGGGACGTGTTTTGGTGAGTTATGCATTGAACAGGTAACGTGATCGACAATCGTTTCTCGAGGCCGCACTGTCAGTATATTTTAGAACAACCAACTTTGCCATTGCCAAGAAATGATCAAAAATGACCGTCTAAACATGATTTCATGCATTTTCTTATTGCTAGAATATTTGATAGCACAATTTATTAGATTAATTTCTTCCCAACACTTCTATCAAAGTATTAAACGGTTTCAATGCTTAAATTTCATATTGGATTATTTAAATTACAAAGAAACTCAGAAACATAGAAACATTGCTGACTATGAATTCTTAAAAAGTTTGATATATCACCAGTTTTGAATATTCATTGTGGCATCAGTTTGGCTGATTCATTGTGCTTCCTTTTCGGTCACCGCGACCGTATCATTCATTTTAGTTTGTCAAAATGAGGAAAAACGCAACGGCAATTCATCCGACACTCAGCTATGCAAAAATTCCCATACCATCAACAAAGGTGCAAATACGTATCAATGACACCAGTGATGTTCCTTTTTCTGATCAGTAGTTTAAGGAGAAAGCTACTGAGTAATTTTTTTTTTTGTTCAGCGTTTGAATTCTTTAGATCGAAACCTTAATTAATCTTTGCGAGATAAATCTGACTTCTTAATTAAATTTGTCTTATATAACTCGGTTACCAGCCACTACCAAAAAGTTCGCTAAATCGGCATAGATTGTTTAAACTTGGAACCTCTTCCGTTGGCATGCGGCATACTAAATAAATTCTCAGTTTTCTTTAAGCTGTTTCGATAAATCGACTTAACGTTTGTAATCATGACGAATGCACCTGGATTAGACATTGAAGAGGTTGATAAAAAAACTCGAATGGACGAGGAAAAAGTATCAATTTCCACGATTCCTCTTGAAGACAAGGAAACAAATCAACAAGCTAAATGTACCCAAGAGGAATGGAGTAATTTGCGTAAAGTTGCAGACAGCGTACCAATCAGTACGTACGACCTTTTTTCGGCCACACGTTTTCTGTTTTATTCGGTTAAAAGGTTTTCTATTTTATAATATAAATAGCCGCATGGTTCATAATAATCTGCGAACTTTGTGAGAGATTTACGTTCTATGGCATCACTGGACCATTCCAAAATTACATTCAATTTCCACCCCCCAAAGAAAAAGACGGACAGCCTGGTGCCATTGGGGCCGGTCAACAAACAGCAACTCTTTTAACATTACTTTTTATTTTCTTCTGTTACATCACCCCGTTACTTGGAGCCATCGTCGCCGATCAATATTTAGGAAGATATCTGACCATCTTGACATTCTGTTTTATCTACATGATCGGCCTAGGAATTCTAACCTTAACATCAATTCCGCCGGCTATTGAAGCCCACGCCTCATTACCTGGACTTGTGGTCGCCATGATAGTTATTGGGTTGGGTACGGGAGGAATCAAATGTAACGTTTCGCCGTTGGCCGGCGATCAATATACGGTTGGTAAACAATGCAATATTAATAATTAAATCTCTATTTGCTATTTATTTTACTTATTGTTATTTTTTTAATTATAGTAAGTATCTTATATTATTTTGATTATCAATGACAAAGAATATCGAATTGTCATCATTACATCAT